CTCGTTTTGGTATAAGCAAGATGGGAACATGAAAATCGGAAAACAGTCGCAATTTGCATTTACATGGCTTGAGATATACTACAATGTGCCTGGAAATTTAGCTTTTTCGCCTTTCTTAAAACTAAATTTGATCATGCACACATTGAAAAAGAACAAGTCATTAAATACCGAGCCAACATTGATGAGAGGGGCTTTATCAAGCACGAACTCAAGGGATACGCCGGTTCTTTGGCCTCTAATAATATGCAAAGCAAACTGACAGAGGCTTTTGCACAATGAGAAATGGCACGGATCTTGTTTGATCTATAGCTTTTGATCGTAGAGGAAAATACATCTTGCTTCACTAACCCCAAGATCGAGTCGATATTCAGTGGATGTTCAACAACCTCGAAATCTCCTTGCCGACCTGTTTTGAAAGTACCAATATACGCCTGCCAATTGCCAAATAAATTTGAAATAAGCTACCATCCAGTAATAAAATGCAATTAATGTTTTGGTGGAAATGATGAAAGTAAGTACTCTTGATCGATTTTCTCCAATACCCATCCTTTGGAGGACCCAGCCTCCTTCAGAGATCGCTCCCAACGCTCATAAGTACTTTTGTCAACCAGGATCTTATGTCGAAGCATGTCCTTTCCGAACGAATGCGATACATCTCAAACGTGCAAGGGATTCACTCTATAGAAGATGGGCAATATCTTTTGGCCCTTTGTTCTCTTGCATTCAACCATTTGAGCTAGGTCCTCGAGGCACCAACGAGAAGAGGCAAAATGTTGAGAGAGAACTGGAATGGATACCTTGCAGTAGTTGATGGCATTGCAAATCTCATAAGCAAAATCTTTACCGAGGAGGGACGGATCATCATCATCAAACACTTTGATTCGTTTGCTCTCCAGGCCATAGCAGAAGAGTGGTCCCAGGCCCAGTCTCAATGAACCTGGGCATTAGAGAGCCGGGCACGGGCACTTGGGTCCCAGGCGGCCTCAATGGACCCGAGTCTAGCCATGATGGACCCGAGCTTGGGCACCAAAAACCCAATCCTAGGCGCCGGGGTCTTGGGCCCAACTTTAGTGGACCCGGGGCAACGGCGTCGGAGACTCGGGCACAAGCACAAAGGTCTCAAGTCCCAGCCTCTGTGGACCTAGGCCAGGGCATCGGGCAAAGGTACGAGTTCCTAGGCCTAGCCTCTGTGACCATGGGCCTAGGCGTCGAGGACAGCCACAGGTGTGGAGGTCTCGGGCACAGGCATTTTTTCCCCTAGCCCAACCTCATGGATCCGGGGCCAGGCACCAGGGTTATGAGCTCAGCCTCTTTATACCCGGGCTTGGCCTCAATGGACCTCGGTGGTCTCTGCCCCGGCCTCTAGACTCAGGTCCACTACAAAGGGCCCCAGAACAAATGTTGGAATTCCTATCCCTAAACGAAAAGTTTTTGGAAGATGCAGAGCCAAAAAGCGCTGGTAAAGCTTTCAGGTGACTCTCCCCGTTGAGAAAAGGGCCACGTGAATCGTTGACGTGTCTAATAGGTTGACGTCGTGTCAGCAGAGTTAAAATTAAAAAAAATTACTTTTTATCTTCTTCTTCCTCCACTTATCGTTCAGCCATGGAAGCTTGTTCCGTTTCCTAGAGAGATGCTTCTTTGCTTCGTTGTCCAGAGAGCTCTATTCATCCATGACCGTTGCTGGCGTCGCTCGTCCAAGCCGAGCCACCCCTCCGTCCTCTCCGTCGTCGCTTGCGGTCATGAAGGAGCCGCCGTCACCAGCTCCAGATCTGGAGGACAACTCCATTTCTGGACCGGCGCCGTCGTCCAGGCTCGCCGGAACTGTGGACAAGCCGCCTCGCAAGCCATGGACAAGGCCAGATCTGAACGGGCAACAGGTAGGACGACCCCATGCGACGCCGCAAGGGATGGCTGGGCTTGGACGCGTAGGACGTGATGACCACAAGCAACGCCGGAAAGGGTGGCTCGGCTTGGATGCACAGGACGCGGCATCCGTGATTCCGCCGGTGACACGCGACCACAAACGTTCAAGACATCACTTCGTTTCAGGAAAAAAAAAGAGAGGAGTTTTATGCTCATTGACTTCATCATATGACCCATCCTCCACATTAGATCATACTTTTCAGACAGCAATCCAAAATTTCGGTCTCTTTCATTTGGGGTTTCACGCATGATAGATCAACAGATGAAACTAATTACTATTAAAGGTTTCATCATCTGCAACTGTATCAATGAAATCAACAATGCCATTCAACTGGACATATAAAAATATTACATACCCTCGTAATATACTTATTTGCTCTCAGTAGAAACCAATGATTATCAGAGGGAGAAATGTATACTCTTTAGGACAATTTCTGGTAATTAAAGACTTGGCGAATGAAAGAGGAGCTGGACTCAAATTTGTCGTCTTACCATTAGCACAACGAGCGGGACTCAGTTTATTTCCTCTCCTTTTATCTACTGTTTTTTATTTATGTAATACTTCATGTTCATTTGATTTCAAAAGGCATCTCCATGGTGTTTCAACAACTTTAAGCCATAGAACTCTACTTTGGTATTCAAACATCGTACCTATGCTAATGACAATAGTTGGACTACAAATGGCGGCATCAAACCATATTCATTAATCAGTAACAATGCATAGTCCGTCAAAAAGAGGAAGGTCAGAGTACATCTTCTTAAAATTTGAGGACATAGTCATTCAATTCTGCCTTGATCAACAAAATCAATTGTGCAATATAAGATGTTCTGATTTCTCATCTTCCTTTTGAGGAGAAGAATTCCGATTCTCTCTATATATTCTGTGTATCATGCCTGTTCATATCGTGTCGACTGGGTGTCGAGGTAGGAAATCCATAAGTATGATTACATGCCCTGGTGAAGATTGATTCCACCATAGACCCACAGTCCAGCTGCATGGTTTTCAAAAAGAACACTGTTCATTGAGATGAGCACAAAACACACAAACTTTACCACCGTAGTAGACACAAGCCTGGATCTGGATCAGGAAAGTGTCCATATTTGCTCAGTGCCAAAGGCCAATCCTTTGATTTAGTTGATTATTAGTACTGATGCCAAATACTAATATTTCTCACACAAGTTTGAACTCTGAAATGCAATATAAGCTTCACCTGCATAGAAGGGAGGTGCCCAATTATGCAGTAATTACTCAAACATCTGTCAACATGCGCTTGCTACACCGGCGATACTCTTAAGTTACCAAAGCCACATCAGAACTGTCACTCATTTGTTGCTTATTTCACCTCTAATTGCAAGAGTAAATCTCGGTGCCGAAACATATTCAACAAGCATATCCTCAAAGCTCAAAATTGTTCATTAAGTTCTTTGCATAGGATCCCAAGAGAATCATTATTCAGCAACAAATCCAGGGAAGACCTAAAAATAATATTCATAGCTCCCGGAGCAAACATTATGCATCTAAAGTACCGAAAACAAAGGTGCAGCTCCACTGTTGCCAGGCAACGGTCTTTTAAACTAAGACCAAAAAGAAACAAACAAAACCAGTAGGCCTTTGGTGGATCCAGCAGAGTACAGAAAACTGCCCAATTAGCTCCCCAGATCTTATTCAAACTGTGAACCTGAAGCCTGAATAAATGGTGATGATCTTTATCACCATGCCCATCCGGTGGTCCCCCAGGACCTACAACTTCGAGCTGTCAGGAAATAAGACAAGTGATCATGATGTTTCCACATTGGCAAAAGACCAAGTTAATCTGGTTAATTTTGCAGTATAACTAGTTTCTAATACCAAATGCAACAAAAGTTCAACACTTGGGAGATGATAAACTAGACAGGTAAAGTTGTAGATGTCATCTATGATTACAATCCAATAGAGTTCGGTGTTTAGAGGATGCAAGCTACTGGAGTTTTTACAATTCAACAAACTTTCGATGTCTAAAAAGGTGAAAGTAATGAGCATTTTCTGCGGCTTGAACGCACCAAAGATTCTGAATTTCTACAGATGAAGATCACCAGGTTTGTTGATACAAATCTAACGTAGTTTTGATGTTTCCTATGTAAAGATGAAAACAATTACTCACCTATTATTTGAATGGGCGAAGATAATCAAGATTGACTCGAAACTAGCAGTGTTCTAATATTTTAAGAGACGAAGTTCATCTTCCCGAGACTGGTTTGTGACTTCAATTCAAGTTTCTTCAGAGAGATGAAGATAGTTAAAGTCACGTGAATTCGTCAAGTTCAAGAATAGTCGCTCCTCATTCTATTGTAATTGCTCACATGCCATATTATGTCATTCCTACTTGTAATGGATGGGAAGATGGAACCAGATTAGTTTCCTACTGAAATTGATTGAAGAAGAGAAATAATGCACTCTCTTTTTCCCATTCCTTCAATGAATTCTAGTGGCTTGTTCTACTCTATAAGATAACTAATACGCAGTAATATAGCCCCATTTGCATATCCAAAGAGAAAGCACAATCAAATATTGTAGAAATAGATGGCAACAAACATGTACAACTTTTTCGACAAGTCACGTGGAGTTCGACATGCTGAATCATTGAACAGATGTAATTGTTGCCTTCTCCAATCTTAAGGAAACGCCACTCTCAACTCAAATGGCTTCTTTTCCCATGCGTGCATGATCATATTTTAGTTTTAAGGAAGACAAGAAAGCCAAGAAAGGAGATATTCTCTTCTAGTGATCCAGCACATTGTGATATATTTCAAGCTATGTGAATGCAAATTGCAGCTGTTTCCATTTTCGTTTTCTCATCTTTTTTTACACCGGAACAAGCTCGACTAGTTTGAGTAAGGAAGATGTACTTGACTTAATTAGAAGGCAATCTGCATTTCGAGGAATCACATTTTACTTCGACTCAATAGCAACTCCTTTATGGCACCTTCAGATAACTAATTCAGGTAACTGGAGCTTTCATTGTTTGGGCAATTTTCTCTCCGCCTTTCATTCCCTTGGTCTCCCTGCTCTCATTCACGCTTCTTTCTATATACTCTCCCTATCTGTAACAGAACAGACTTGTAAATCCGAACATGAGACATCCGTTAATCATGTCGCATCTGAATCCAAAAGACTTTGTCTGCAGTCTTTAGAAAATTATTGCAAATGATGAACAGTAAATGATGAACAGTAAATGATGACATGTTTGATCATCTTGGAAAATCCTCTGTCAAACAGGAATCACAGGTGCTAAAAATGAGTTGTTACTTACCCCAGGATTGAGTCAATATTCAGTGGATGGAGATGGCGATCATGCGTTTGGGGATTCTTCAACAACCTCGAGACCTCCTGGACGACCCGTTTCACAAGTACCGCTTCATGCCTGCCAATCACCAAACAAAATTGGAGTGAGCTCTGAGTAGTATAAGAAGTTTCCAGTTATAGTTCAAATTAAGGATGATGAAAGTAAGTACCCATTGTTGATTCTCTCCGATTCCCATCCTTTAAAGGATCCAACCTTCTTGAGAGCTTCCTTCCACTTCTCACATTGATCTCTGTCACAACGCTTCTCATATTCACGAAGGCGGTCGCCAAAACAATCCGTTAAATATTTCACGTGTGAGGGCTTCACTTTGTAGAAGATGGGCAATATCGTTTGCCCTTTTGTTTTCTTGCAGTCAACCATGTAACTTAGCTCACGGAGGCACCAACTAGAGGAGGCAAAATTTTCAGAGAGAATCGGAATGGATATCTTGCAGTGGTCGATGGCATTCATAAGCTCATCACTAATAACTTTACCTATGATGGACGTATCATCATCATAAAACACTCTGATTTTTGCAGCCACAAGGCTGATGTAGAGGTATGCAGCAAAGCCGTATCGAGTATCAGGGCCACGAAAGGCCAAGAACACTTGGCATTGACTGTGTCTTCTTTTCTCCTTTGAATAGTAATAATACACTGTGATCCAGTAAGACACCAAGTGATGATGATGAGATGCAGCCAATACGAATCATATGAAAAGCTCAAAAGACCAAGTAACTTTTAGATCGGTCTAGTCATTAACCATGCGAACCTTATGACTCTATGTGGAATTAAGGGAGGCCAAAGCTCTCGCATGATGAACTCAGAGAATACTCACATGATCTTATGTGGTGATTAGACATCAATATAGGAAACAGGGGGAGCCGTTCGATCCACGATGTCTTCAATTCAGTCAAAACCCTTGCGACCACAATTTTCACCAGCTCTCCTTCATGCCTGCCCACCAACATATGTGCGTAAACCAAAGTTAGTCGTATAGCCTTCCTTCCCCTAACTCTGCGATTCCGGATCATGTAGTCCCATCTAAGTGCATAGGGGTTCGATTCGCAGATTCGTAAGAGCGTAACGCACGCACGCACGCACGCACGCACATACATACATACATACATACATACATACATACCCATTAGCAATGGTTTGTGATATCCATCCTCTAATCCTCGCTACAGAAGCCAGTGCCTTCCGCCATTCACTCAAATCCCGTACTCGCTCTTCTTCCGAGCTGTCCCGGTACACCTTCCTGTGTTCAAATAGAGCAGCTCCAAAACGACCCCGTAGGTTACTTACATCTGCAACATCCACCTTATAGAATATAGGGAAGACTGATTTGCCATGCTCTCTGTGGCAATCCATAATCTCGGCGAGCTCGCGGAGGCACCATTTACTCTGCGCATACTGCACGGAGATGATGGGGATCGCAATCCTACAAGACCTGATAGCGCGGAGGAGCTCCGGGCCTATCTCTTCACCAATCGGGAGCGCGTCGTCATCCCTGAACACGTGGACCCCAGCAGCTACCAGGCTGCTGTAGAGGAAATCGGCGAAGCCGGTGCGAGAGTCTGGGCCTCTGAAGCTCAAGAACACGTCGTGGTTCTGAGGGACCGCGCATCCTCTCCCCTGCAGGGCTTTGTAGGCGTACACGGACAGAGGGACTAGAGGTGGAAGAATCCCTAAGCCATACAATGCGTTTCTCTTATTCATTTTCTTCTCCGTTCGATGCTTCCCTTTTCTCTATTCGGATCTAGGTATGTCTTCTTTGAATGCTTTCGCCTGGGATCTAAAGTTTTTGTTTACGCACAAATCCCAGACTACGTAGCACCGACACGCGGTCAACGCGCCAGACACGCCGCCGACACGAGAGTCGGGCAAGCGATTCCTACCCGGCTTGCTGTGCCGGCCTTCGGCCCGACCTTCAGCCCTGTCGACGCTGCCCCCCTGCGCCCCTGTTTCTGCCTCTGTCCTCTGTTGCTTCTGGCGATGCCGCTTTTCGTAGCGTCTGAGAGGAAGAGACGAGGAAGGAGAGAGGAAAGTAGAAGGGCCGGGCCGGGCCGGGCTGGCCCAAGTGGCGGGGAAAAAAAGCTGGCCTAGCCCTTTCGGGGCCCGAAGATGGAGTCCAGTGTTTTTTTTAGAAGATGTGGATAACGTAGATGAATGACTTCTTGTTATATTTGATAGTGAAATGTCAGATTGTTTTTTTGTTTTTTGACTTTTTTGTTAAATTTAATGGTGAAATGTGGATTTCTTATTTTTTTTTTCTCTCCAAGTTTTATGGATTATTATAATGGAATGTAGTTGAATTTATCAAATTGAAACAATGAATGATATTAACAAATTGTGGATTAATGTTTTTAATGTAAATTCATTCTAGGCTTTTTTTTGTATTATATATTTATATGTGGATTTGAATCAAATTAATTTGATTGAAATAATCATAAAAATGATAATTTATTATGTATACATAAATATATATTTAATATAGAACGTGTCTCAACGTGTCGGAATTCTCTATTTTTGAGAAATTACGTGTCGCATATCGTGTCGTGTCGTGTTGCGTGTTGGTACTACATAGATCCCATAGGCTTCATCGTGATGAAGTAATTACTCAAACATCTGTCAACATATGCTTTGCAACACCGGCAAATATGCAGGAGCACACACTGAGATGGAACTTGCAGACCGGAAACTTAGAATAGAGGATGCAAATCAACACGCATTTGCTGCGATGGATGAGGGTATAGCACCTGGTGGTGGTGCAGCTCATGTACATCTTTCTGGTAAGCAGCAAGATGGGAAGATCAAGAGGAGCAGACTGGCTCTAACGTAATAGCAACAGTATGATTTCTACTTTCTTTCTTCATGTCTTCGCGTGAATCATTTTGTGTGTAATTTAAATTCCAATGAGCAGTCTGAAGGAAACTGAGGTGGTTGGTGCTCGACCAAATATTGTTCACGCATACCTAGTTTGGTCCAATGGGCATCCTCTGGTGCCTCTGATCTCTAGCATATCGTCGATCTTGTGGTGCAGTGATAATGGGGCCTTGGAGGATGTACAATGACAAACCATGGCCAAAGTAAATAAGTTGATTGTGCTCTATATATTTGTAATAGAACATGAGCAGGCAGATCTATCAATTAGCCTATATATTAGTTATCATTAGCTTGAGACAACATTGTGCCTCCTCGAAACTAAACCTGTCTCGAATATCTAATGTCCAGTATGATTTGGTAATGCAGGTTTTGCACGTCAAATGAAAAGTTTAAATTGGCAGGAGTAGTTGCCATTTCCGGATCTACAAATGCGAGAAAACGTAAGCAAGGCTCAAAGCTGGCATTGCATGATATAGGGGTGTGCGCAATGGTTCTGGAGTGAAGATGCTTTCTCTCTGTTGATCATTGAATTCTGACAGCAACTTTTCTCCGCTGACCAGTGGCACAACATCTCGTGTGGGCCTGAGGAAACTGTATTTTACCTTTCCTTGCGAGTGATAACCTGCCTTGTGTCTTCCATAATTGCTTGGGCATTTTAAGTGGAATGCCTTTTCTCTTCCTATGAAAACCCCCCTCTCAACAACGTTGGCATGGCTTAGTTTTTCCATGCGTGCACGATCAGATCTTAGTTTTCAAGAAAGATGAAAAAGCTAGGAAGTGAGATATTCTCTTCCAGTGATGGAGTCCATCGTAATATATTTCAAGGTATGTTAATGCACTCCCATTTTCATTTGCTCATTTTGTTTTCGATTAGTTTTAGTAAGGAAGATGTACTAGACTTAATTTGAAGGCAATCTATAGGAAGATTGCATTTTACTTCATTTCAATAGCAACTCCTTCATGGCACCTTCAGACAACTAATTAAGATGACTGTACTTTCTATTGTTTGGACTTTTTTCTCTCCTCCTTTCGTTCCCTTGGTTTCCCTGCTCTCATTCACGCTTCTTTTTATATCCTCTCCTTATTTGTAACAGATCAGACGCGACAAATCCGAACATGAGACATCCGTTATTCATGTCACATCTGAATCCACCGACGACATGTTTATTAAACAGATCACATAACATGACTCTCATGACATGTTTCTTAGCTCCAAAAGAATTTGTCACCCGCCTTCAGAATATTAATGCAAATTGTGACATCCTCGATACGGACCCTATTTCGGCAAGAGAAGTGGCTTAGACTGTTAATGCACTAATAGCAGGGTTAGACCATGAGTCGATTCACGAATCATACATAGGTCAACTATTCGATTAGGAAGGGCAATTGAGGGTTGGGAAATGCGCTCGACTAGAGTACTCGACCATGGAAAATAGTTCGACCAGAAGGATCGATGCGGGACGACCTTATGACATCACGGGTCAATCAGTGAAAGGTTAGGAATCAATTCGACGGAAGTATATATAGTCGGATTGCGAGTGATTCCGCACGATCATTATACTAAACCCGAACGATCCTAAGCTAATTTCACAAGACCACGTGCCCCAGGTAAATAAGTCAATTCCGCACGATTACATGACAACCGAGAATGATCCATGGATTGACGAGACTCGAATATAGATTGATTGACGAATCAACTATAAGTCACATTAGCGACACCCCAAGAGCCCGCCTAACTCAAATAGACCGTATTAGGGGTACTTCCCATTGAAGTTTAGCCACAAGCCTTGATCCGATTATAGGTTTTCGATTAAGGACTGTTAAGAGACTTTCCGTTCCGGGTTAGTCGGGTAAACCCCGGGAATAGTTTTGGGCCCCGAAACGTTGGACAAAGAAATTATTGGGCCTAGAATGGGGGCCCACGAAATTTCAAAGGCCCAATGGGCCTCTTGGATATGAATTTCGGCCACAAGGGCCCAATGGTTGGGAAATTACAGTTTTGCCCTTTTGAGCCTATCCTTAAGCCCATTCTCCCTATTCAAGCCCAAGTTTGAGCTCATTAGCATTTTCAAGCTCGTTCTTTATCCGTTTGAGCCCAAACTTGATATATACAAGCCCGTACAAAATTCTAGTCCGTATACGTGTATAGTATTTTATACCTTGTGAAATTACCAAAATACCCTTCTTTACATTTATGATCAAGAGACAAAGGCATTGATGGGAGGACACTTTGGGGCATTGCCATGATGAAGAAGACTTTAGGGGTAATGGCATGATGAATGAAGACTTTGTGGGCATGCATTGAAGAAGAGAAATATCTCTCTTGTCTTTCATTTCTCTCTCCCTCTCTTTCTCTATTGTCTTTCTCCCTCCCTCTCTCTCTCAAATTCGTTTTCCCCCTTGGCAGCCCCATTTTCTCTCTCTTTTCTCTTCCTTTTTCCTTGTTTTTGGCCGGCGTTCACCCCCGTCTCCATCCCCAAGCCACCCCCTTGCCGCCGGACCGCCGTACACCACCCGTTCGTGCCATTTTCCACCGCTGAATCGCCTCACCGAAGCCGAACCAGCCAAAACCGGTTCTGTGGGTTGCTGTTCAGCCCTATTCCAAACATCTAACGTCTTTCCGTGTCGATTCCGGACCGTGCGACACGTAGCCCTCGCCGCCGTCGATGTGCCGGTGTCTTCAGAATTTCAATCGGGTGAGTTTTCGCCCTAATCCCTTGCTTGGTAGGCTAAACTTGATTAGGATGTAATTAGTTTAAGATAAGTATGGTTAGTACTAATTAAGTATGGATTAGTTGTTAGGTTATCACATTAAGTGATAAGTAGTTGTGATAGGTTATCATTTAGGTGATAAGTTATCATTGTTTTGTGTGATGAGCTATCGGAAAATGTTATAAGCTATCGGGGCTTTGACGATAAGCTTTTGGATTATTTTTATAATTAATATTTTATAATTAATTAAATTAATTTCGGAATTAAAATATTAATATTTTGTGGAATTTTCGAAAATAAATTGTGATTATTTTAGGCTTGAATTGTGATGCCTAAGTTGGAAATTGCCTTGTAAATTGGCTTGTATAACTAATTGAATTGATTGATTATTGTTAAGTATAGAATTGTGGGCATTTAATTAATAAACCCTGAGGTGTCGGGTTTATTTGCTGAGTTTTATGAGATGAATATGTTTTGGATGATTGAATATGGAAGTATGCCAAGTTTGGTGGTTTAATAATATGTGCATGATCACGTGTGATTAATTTGGTGCATTTTTACGTGTGGAAGTTGCAATATTTCAGCGTATTAGCACGGATCATGTTTGCATTGGCTATTGATAAATATAATGATGGAACCTGAGTGTTGCTATGTGTGCATGATCACCTAAAGGTTTCTTTTGTGCCCGGTTATACCGGATGACCGCCAACCTAGGGTTTGGCCGTGGCCCTAACGGGTGTCTTCAATTTGGTAATTGGAAGCCGTCGCTGGTAGGAGGGGAGACGTAATCATTCGCGAATCGGATTCGGAATGAACCCATTTATGGGACATGCCGTCATTGTGGTCGGGTGAGACGATGTCGTGCCCAATGGGGTGGGGCGATGCCTGGTTATGCTGGAAGACTGCCAATCTGATGCGAATATCGCGGGTTGTGCCGTGCCCCAAGTGTGGCCGTAGTAACCGGAATACGCGTGAAAGATTGTGGTGGCATTGCTCTTGATTATGGGATGAAATTGTGAGGCACGGTATAGGACGGGCCAAAGCGGTTTCACCTTATAATCGGGACACGTGTGGATGCATTGTGCATGGAAAGGTTGTTGCGTATTCTGATTGCGTTATATGCTTATTGCATTATTATGGCATACGGTGATTCATAACGTGCATGGTGTGTGCATGTGCCAAGGCAAGGCAAGGTTGCTTGTGATTGTGCTGTGGCATACTTGTATGCACTATGTTGAGTTGCCGGCCATCGACGTATCGTTGTAGGTGTTTGAGTTGACCTCCTAGTCGAGGCTTAGG